GTGTGTCAAGGGGCGTGCGTCCCGTCCTTGTGTCCACCTGCTCGTAGGACCAGCCACCCGTAGTCGCCGTCGTCGATGTCGATGTGAACCGCTGTGGGCAGAAGAGTGTGAGGCGGCAGAGCTGCACCGCCACCCCCCGCCCGAGCAGTGGAACCGGCGATGGCGAATTAAATGACGCCGTCGTCGCTCCTCCTGCTGCTGCTCGCAGTGCCGGCCTCCACGCCATTCCTCCTCTTCACCGCCACCAACACACCGCCCAGCGGCACTTATCCCCTCAGAAAATAAAAATAGCCGAATGGCGCGAGGGTCCAAATTCCCGTCTGCCTGTCCTATCCGTATCGCCTGATGACGCAGTTGCTCCATCGGAAACAAAAAAAGAAGAAGTGAAAAAACAAAAATAATGATTATGGAAATAACAACAGGCAGAGACACTTTATTTTTGAACCCACCCACCCACCCCCAACTAACGCACCACAGAACACAAAAGAGAATGAAGAAGCAGAAAAAAAAAAACATTATACATGTGACATATATGTAAGTAGTAATAAAAAGTGGGTGTGGAGTGGAGTCAAATTTTCCTCTCTCTCTCCCTCTCTCTTTCTCTCTCTCTCTCACTCTCTCTTTTGCTTGTCTTTTTTTCTATCGAGAATTCCACCGCGGCCACCACCCCACCAACTCCAACTGCACTTTATATGTTTCCCTCATCTTCAATTATGTTTGTCCGTTCCTGTTGTTGTTGTTTGTTTGTTTCTTTTCTTCTCGTCCTCCCTTCTCTTTCCAGCTGCTTCACCACCGCCGCCGCCTCTGCTGAACAGCAGGTAAGTGCACGTGAGGCCAGCGTACGGAGTAGCGCAGCACTGGCGGAAGAAAACAGGCCGGGAATATAACGACACTGCAGGAAAAGATGAGCGAAAGCGAGAGCGAGAGCGACAGAAGAAAAACCAACCGGAGAAACGCCAGAGACAGCAAACCTTCAAAACACCAAACTCGCCACGGATCGCCAGCATCAAACCACACGTGGTGCGTCCTACTCCATCTCCCCAAGAATCCATGGATGCTGCATAAGTTCCTCCACCGTTGGACGTTGCCCCGGGTCACGCACAAAGCACTTACGCATAAAATCCAAGCACCCTGGCGTTGCCTCCGCCTCCGGGATCTCTGTCGGTCCGCCCTCCGCTTGCGCAATCAACATGATCGCCGCTGGTGCATTCACCTGAACTGGCCACGGTGGCTTCCCCGTCAGCATCTCGGCAACGGTACAGCCAACGGACCACACATCGGCCTTATAACTGTACCCGGTGCCGCTGCCAGTCACGTCTACCACCTCCGGTGCCATCCAGTACGGGGTGCCAATGACTGTCCGACTCTGCGCCACGGCATCTGAGAGTCGTCTAGCAGCACCAAAGTCCACGAGTTTGATTTGAGACTCCTTCTTGGGATCGCTTGAGGTGTCGACAAGGATGTTGTCGCCCTTGATGTCGCGGTGGAGAATGCGCTGCGTGTGCAAGTAGAGCAGGCCGGAGAGTAGCTGTCGGGTCCAGCTCCGCACCACGGCATGAGGCAGTGGCTTGAATTTCTTCACTAAAGAGGATAATGATCCGCCGCCAATGTACTCCATGAACATACAAACGACGTTGTTCGGGGAATCGTAAAACACACCCCTAAAGGTGCAGAGATTCTTGTGATGCAGACGCCGCATCATGTTAATCTCCCGCGAAAGAGACACAAGCTCATTAACGCTGAACACACCCGTTTTTCCCCCGATTTCAACACACTTTACAGCGTAAAAGGAGCCATCGTCAAGCAAACCCAAATAGACAGAACCATACGTCCCACGGCCAATCAAAAGTCCACGACGCCACGATCCGAGCTCCTCTGCATCACTCGTTTGCAGCATCTCCGGGGTGATGCCTTCCGGGCCCAGTGTGGACCATGAAATATATTTTTCCTCTTCCTCTGGAGTCGCGCGGATTGTACCATCGTCGTCCAGGCTCTCGTGCGTGCCCTCTTCTTTCTTCATCAATGTGGGCTGTGTTGAAACTGACGGATGCTGTGTCGATGCAGTGGAGGGTAATGCGTCGGTTCTGTGATCAACATCCGAACCATTGTGTTTGCCGCCGTTGCCCCTGTCGTTGCTAGTATCTCCTGGCCGCAATGTCGCAGTGGCTTGTGGACCACTGTTTACTGGTGCCATGCCACCGATAACGTGAGGCGTCGCTTTTTTTCGCCCGGCAGACGATGTTTTCTTCGTACCACACCTGGAGCAGAACTTGGCTGTTACTTTGCTGAAAGGTGCACCGCAATGCCCGCACACCATCGCCCCTGCCGGCCGCCCGCCGCCTCCAGCAATGTTCTCCGACATGAAGAAAAAAGGAAAAAGGAGCAGCGAGATACGCCAATAAAAATAAAAGACCTCGGGTGCCAACGCCGGCCTAAAAAATAACGCTCGGCAGGCGCGTAAGGAAAAACTACGGGGTGGGCACTCACATAAACACACGGAGAGTAACAACAAAGAAGAAGAAAAGAAGAGAAGAAGTAGGATACGCTGAACCAGTTGACCCCTGCACAGAGGAAAGAAAGGCGAGAGAAATATCACAAGAAAGAAAAAAAAAAAGAAAATATAATCTCAAAGAATCATGCACCATGAAGATATCTCCTCTTCTACTCCACCCCGCCTCCTCCACCCCGTTGAGTTGGCGCCGCTCCCTGAAGCTCTGCCTCCCTGTGCCGCTCAAGAAGACATGCGGCACGTCGCCACTGCGCCGCCTCAAGTTTGCCCGCAGACTCCTCCGTGGCGTATCGACGAGCCATTCTCTGCTGCACTCCCCTCGCCCACGACAATTCTTCCGCCGACGGGGCAAAAGCCGCGTGGCATGAAGCAAGTTGCGCAGGGTTTATGACTAACTTGCCTTCAAAGCCAAGCGAACGAGAGAGGTGCAAATCACGAGAAAATCCAGCCGTGTCCGAGGCGTCCTCAAATGCGTCATCCAAAATGTTCATGTTGAAGGCTCGGGCCGCGAGTAAAACTTGGAGACTACTGTTCAGCAACGGAAGCGATCCAAGAAGGGCCGCGGGCGTGGCATTCTCACTATTGTTTTCGCCTCTATATGTATCACCGTACGTGACTCCACCAATTGGCAAATGAAGATCTTCTGCGAGCCGCCTTGAGCCCATGACAGCGTACCGGTAGTGCCCCTGACGGCAGATTTCAGATGCCTGTACAACAGAGAGCGGTGTGTCAAAGAGGGCCCAAAGATGGTGACTAGGATGAATGTACTCCTCAACAAGCGAATATGTATTCACCGTCACCGCCGGCAACAAAACACCTTCAATGCGTTCACCTAGCAGGGCGGCAAGCTCCATGTCCAGAAACCCGTTTGCAGAATCAAATTCAGGGGAGTTAACACGAATCAGGTAGCGCCCTCGCTCGTCGGCATGTGAGCACTGTCCTTCACTTATATCTTCACCCCGTTTTTCGCCCTTTTCTTCCGCCTGCAAAAAGCGCAAAATGTTGTCACGCGCCTCCCCTCTACTTCCCCTGCAGCACGTTAAGTCAAACATCACAGCATCTGCAGTGACACCACCACGTCGTTCCCTTCGAAACGCCTCCACAATGCAGTCTGCAGGGACCAACAGTACACTCCGCGGGCAGGCATTTGGGTTTGCGCATATACGGCGATTGCTGAGAGTGATGCCCTCTTCACCCTCCTCTGACACAGCGGCATACCGTTCGTCATCCCTGCGATCACGCCAGAGCGCATACTCCTCGTACATCTGCCTAAAACCCCTCCACACCCCATTGCCAGCTGCACTCAAACGCGGAGTGAAGCACCGCATAACGGGATGCCTATTGGATGTGCTAGTGATATGGTCAGAGAAAGAAAGATGCAAAAAAGAAGAGAAAAAAGAAAAGCGTTTATTATTCCCATTTCCAAACCCTAGGAGTAAGGGAAAAAATAATAATAATAAAGTAAAAAGCAAAATAAGCCTTCCAACGAAGGCGTCGTAAAATAAACGCCGATATCAAATTCAGCGAATTGTCATCGGCGCAGTGTCGTTTGGATACAGCATAGTGTTGGGGTAACGCCACTCCCCATTGCAGGCCACCTTCCGAATTCATGAAAACGTTATGCTCCACACCGCAGCCAGATCCAATAGGGCCTAATTGGCGGGGTGGCTGCGGGTGAATGGCAGGGGAAATGCGTCGACCATCGACTTCTCAAACCGCAGAAGCGGGCACGGCAACCTTCGCCTGCATCTCTTTCCGCTCGAGTTCCTCGGTCCGCCCTGCCCACGCAGGAAAGGACAAGCACCGGGGCATGTGAGCGGTGCGGCCGGGGTTGCACCGCAGGCCCCGAGGAGGGCAGCAACGACGTGGATGACAACGTGAGGGCGGCTCTTGCCGCTGAACGGTCCTGCAGGAGGCGTCGCGGAGACTCGCAGGCTGCAAATCCGGACGAACAGCTGGTGGAATCCTCCACAGGAGCACAAAGCAACGGCATGAATAGCTGCAGTCATTTCTCTCCCGCGGTCTCCTATGCACTCTTCGAACCCTTTTCCTCGCGCTGCTCTCATTGTTGATCAATTCGGTGTTAGTGTGTTCGATTCTGTCATGTTAAGCCGCCACCCCCGCCAACTAAACAGGCAACGTCAGAAGACGAAGTGTCTGCCTGGCGTCCGTGTGGTGTGGTGTGCGCCACATACGAGGGTTGATCTGCCCCACTGCAGGAGAGAAGTATTAGCGGCAACAATTAAGAAAAAAAAGGGGAAAAATAAAGAAAAGATATGTTCGTCACATTCCTCTTTTTTATTATTGTTGACATATGATTGACATTCGACTGTCGCTCTTCTTTTTTTGAAAAGGAAAAAACAAAAGAAAAATACAGCAGGAGCATACGTCTCACCCTGGCTATAGAGATTCAATGGACAAAAAAAGTGCCACACGGTCCTACCCATACTCCTCTTTTTAATGTCATGCAATAACGCTACTGAACCGTGGTTGATATAATTTCGATAAGAACAACGTGCACTTTTTTTGTTTTTTTTTTTTTTTTTTTTTTTTTTTTTGTGTGTGTGCTTATATACACGTGGGATTAAACGAGAAGAAAAGAAAAAAAAAGAGGTTATTTGAGTTATTTGTTTGCTCCCCCCTTCTCCTTCTTCTTTTACCCCGCAGGCGGTGTTGCTGGCGTCGTTAGTACACACCCTGCACCATCTTCTCAAACCAGTGTACTTTTTCATCCTCCGCTGGGTCGCCAACAACAGATTGGATGGCTGCCTTCCACTCGCCCAATTCGTGTGCGTGCATGACGGAAAACGTAAATGTCCGCTCCTTCTTGACGCTGCCGCCCCCCTCCGCCTGCCGATCGCTCGCCACGTGAATGCCGAAGCTGGACGGCAGCTTGGCTTCGTTCCCGGGGTCAACAAGCTTAGCGCTAGTGAGATCAATCACACCCTGCGGTTTTCCCTCCTTCATGCTCTCCTGGGAGTCAAAGTAGTACAGCCTACAGTTTTTGATTACACAGTACCGCTTCTGGTTGCTGTAGGGCCAGCTGGGCTGTTGCTTAAACAGGAAGCCCTCCTTGTACACCTTGGCAGGATTCACTCTCGCCCTTGTTTCGCTGGTGAATGGCAATTGTTGCTGCTGCGGGTCCACATATTGCGCGCCCCTCTGCACCGCGGTGTTGGTGAGTGGTGACCCCATCAGAGGACTCGAGACGCCATTTTTATTGAGAGCGGCGGGTTTGTTCTTCGGTGACGTTAGCGCCGGCCCTGCCGGTTTTACAGGCGGTGGCCCCTTCACCGCCAACGCTGCGGGGGGCGGCAAGTCATCATCCGAGTCGTCCAGGTTGATGGGAGTCTTCGGTGGAGGAAGTTGGAGGTCTTCGTCAGAGTCCATGTGTCACTTTCCCTTTTTAAAATTTTTCCTTCACTGTCTTTCTCTGCAGGCACGGGGCAGGTCGGGTCTCAACAAGCCGTGCAGAGTGGCAGCAAAGAAAGCGAGAAGCACAAGAAGTAAACAAAAAAGCCAAGCACACACACATATACACATAAATATATATATATATTCTTTTCCCCCTCCCTCTTTCGTTCTTCCTTCCCCTTCTCTCTTCCCGGCATGTCTGTCTGGCCGGTGTGTGCATCATATACGCCCCAAAGTCATCCGTGCCACTGGAGTGAGCATGCAAACTGGTAGCGGTTGAAAGAAAAAAAGAAGGAAGCGCAGTAAATAATTTTTTTTTTTTTTTTTTACGACAGGCAAAAAAAACACCCGCGGATGAAAAAAAAGAAAAAATTTTGGAAATGATACATTGTGCCCAAACGCTGCAGGTAGAGTATTGCACTCGCTCGCACGCAACAGGCACACGCACACATATATATGTAAACAAACATGAAACTTGTATCTTTTGTCGTTGCTTTTTTGCGTGTGTGTACTTTGTGTACTGCCTGTGCGCATCATCCCCGTCTATTCCATGCACGCCAGGAAGCATGGCAACTCCTCGAAGACAATGAATGCCTGCCCACCGTCGTCCCTTGTGGTGCCAGACGAGGCCATCATGGAGAGACGGCCACCGCCCTCTGAGCCGTCCATGCTGTCCTCGTCATCCTCCATGTCATACGCGTCTGCCAAAGCCCGCTGGTGGCTGTGGGTCAACTGCAACGCTTTCCACCGGTGTGCCCAATGCCAAAGAGTCCACGGAACGACGGCCCCACACAATTCACGACATACGCCAGGTGTTGCACGAATCATTCCACGCAGGGCGAGAGCAGCGCTGGTTTGGGGCTGCTGCAAGTCAATCAACTCCCGAGCTTCCTTCAGAACATCCTTAATATATGAACCGCGCATGAATTCACTATCGGAATAACTGTAGAGAATTTCCGCCTTAATGTCCTCCGCGTCAAATATCTGCTGCCGCACCCTCGCACAAGTCTTCCTACGAAACGCATACAGTTGCTGCATGCGCCACATCATGGACTCCGTCTCGTCCACACTCTGCACAGCCCCTGCATTGTTGCTGCCGATATGAGCATGACCATTGCTGCTGCTGCCAACACCACTACCGGAAAATGGGGTCAACGCGCCAAGGCGACTCAACATGGCGCAAGCGGTGGAAAGTGGCATGGCAACACGACCAAGTGGAGAACGCGGGAAACGCGACAACGCGTCGCCGTCCGCACTCATCCTTCTACTATCCTCTTTTTGAAAGTAGAAGCAAATTTGAGTGGCGCTAAAATAACCGAGCGACTGCACCCCAACTCTGCGAAGCACTGGCAAACCCTTTGCATCGCCACCACGCAGCGGACCACCGTTACTGCTAAGCAGAAGATACGGCACGTGTTGATACGTCACCACACTTATGTCACCAATCGACGTATCTGCGTTCATGCTGCCTGACGAGGGGCACCGTGACGCGCTTGAGAAAAACGGCAGCGTCAGGCCTGAAAGAGCGGCCACAATGCATTCAACCGCCTCTGTGCGGGTTTTTCTCGCGACAATCCGTTCTGGGAAATGAAACAGGAAAAACCCGCTGCCCTCTTCGCACGCAGCCATACAACCGGAGGGAAGCAATAACTCCCCGCCACAATCCAAGCGCTTGGAAAGCAAAAATTCACGTGCGGAACTGCTTTCAGCCCCATTAGCCAGGAGTCCGTTGCCGTTGTGTGCACCACCCGTGTCAGTGGCACATGGAGCAATGTAGTGCGTGTGTCCCCTCGATTTTGCGTCTTTTTCCCTCTCTTGGTATTGCTGCGCGCCAGTGTTGGTGACAGGGTGTACACCTTGCAGCTCCAGTGCAATCAGTGGGAGAGCGGCCTCCGTAGCGACGGACCCGTCGTCCCACGGCGATGTGTGAACAATACCCTCCGCCTCGATGACATGCAATTTGATACGCAGTTGGGGTTCACCCAGCGGGATGGAGATGACTCTTCGATCCCGCACTTTATCACTTCCACTGTACGTTCGCTGGAAGAGCTCCAAACTGTAGGACGAGGTGTCTTTGGGCGGGTGAACGAGGCGTAAACAGCCCCAGTGCACCTTGTAATTCGTCCGCTGCATTAATCCCGTGGCCGGCAATCGCCGCCGCAGCAGCTCCTCCACGCCCATGGAGAAAAATGTCACCTCACAAAAGATGCCCTCCTCAACAAGTTTCCTAACGGCTGCCTCCTGCAATTTTGCCTCATCTCCGTAGCGGCCAATGAGCGTCGGTGCAGGTCTGACCTCATCACCGTTCGACATAAGAAGTGGGACGTGAGGAAGAGGAGGATCCTTCACGTCGCTCTCACCAGACCCGTACGGATTGCTTGCAGACTGCTTCTTTAACGTTTCCAAGGTGTCCAACAAAATCTTGACGTTTCTGGCGACCGAAGACGTGGGAAACACAACGTCCCTCGCAGCGTCTGGCGTCATGCCGTTTGCTTCGAGAACCCAACGAAGGGACTGGGGACGCAACAAAATGCCTTCCATCATTTCCATGTCGATGCTGACGGCCAACAGCAATTCCTGTCGCATAACACGGGCCCATATCCCTCCCAT